TCCCCCTGCTTGTGTTCCCTCTCTTGCTGTGTCTCTCTGTCAAATAAATAAATAAAATCTTTAAAAAAAAAACAGTTTCATAAAAAGCACAATAAGATAACATATCACTTCACATGTAACATGATGGCTTAAAAAAACCAAAACAAAACAGAGAATAACAAGTATTGATGAATGTGGAAAAACTGGAACCCTTACATATTGCTGTGCAGCTGTTAGGGAAAACAGTTTGTCAATTCTTCAAAATGTTAATCATAGAGCTATTAAATGACTCAGTAACTCAACTCTTAGGCATATAAACAAGAAATTCGACAACTTACGTTCACAAAAACCAGGGAGTTCGCCCATGGTTTTAGTCTTTAGCTTTGTGAAAGCTGTTTCTACCACAGCCCTTTTCCTTATACTACAAGGGATGATTTTTTTTCTATACTCTAGTGGAACTCCTTTTGTCCTATTATGCATCTGTATTTAACACTGATTTGTGAAATTGTAATTTCCTCAAACAAGTTTTATAAGTGCATTAAATAATGATTTTGGGGTGGAACAAAACCAGGATTACAAATTCCTAATGATTACTGAATATTAGCAAACATTCCCAGAATAGTACTGTTAAGTGCAAGAGATTAAGATTCCATGCCCCATGGGGTGCCTCTCATTAGGTTAAGTGACTCTTGATCTCAAATCAGGTCTTTTTTTTTTTTTTAAAGATTTTATTTATTTATTTGACAGAGAGAGACACAGCGAGAGAGGGAACACAAGCAGGGTGAGTGGGAGAGGGAGAAGCAGGCTTTCCGCTGAGCTGGGAGCCAGATGTGGGGCTCGATCCCAGGACCCTGGGATCATGACCTGAGCCGAAGGCAGACGCTTAACAACTGAGCCACCCAGGCGCCCCTCAAATCAGGTCTTGATCTCAGGATTTTGAGTTCAAGCCCCAAGTTGGGCTCCACATCCACTTAAAAAAAAAAAAAAAAAGATTCCATACCTTTGAAAAATAGTGTAACAAATTCCTAAAACAAATTTGGAATAAAAAACTTACAACTTTCTGAATTATCTAAGACAATAGTTTTTTTTTTTTTTTTTTTTTAAGACTTCATTTATGGGACACCTGGGTGGCTCAGTTAAGTGGTTAAGCATCTGCCTTCAGCTCAGGTCATGATCCCAGAGTCCTGGGATCCAGCCCTGCATAGGACTCCCTGCTCAGGGGGGTGCCTGCTTCTCCCTCTCCCTCTGCTGCTCCCCTTGCTTGTGCGCTCACGCACGTGTGCTCTCTCTCTCTCTGTCAAATAAATAAAATCTTTTTTTAAAGATTTATTCATGAGAGACAGAGAGAGGAAGGCAGAGGGAGAGGGAGAAGCAGGCTCCCCGTGGAGCAGGGAGCCCGATGCGGGACTCGATTCCAAAATCCCGGGATCATGACCTGAGCTGAAGGCAGACACTTAACCAACTGAGCCACCCAGGTGCCCCTAACACAATAGTTTTTACAACTTGATGTGTTACTCCCCTATAGGATAAGCACAACAGAAATGCTATGAGAAATCTAATCAACTAAATTGCTTAATGAAAGTTCTCCTCTCGATGCACCCTAAATCTCCTTATTGATATGTTTATCTATATGTCTACATTCTAAAACTTTAACTTAAGCCTATATTATCTTTCTGAGAAGAATCTCTAAGAGAACATTCTTGCAGAAAAAGCCATCATCAAAGCATCTAAAAAAAAAAAAAAGACTGAGAACAGGAAAGTGAGCCCAGGCAAACTCTAACATTCACTTTAAATCATCATGTGGTATTGAAGATCAGAGACTGTGAAAGTTCTTTACACTATTAAGAACCAATTATCCCACAGATAGCACTTCATGATAAGGCCAGGTCCAAATTCTGTTGCCACTGCCCCATTCTATCCAAGCCCTACCTTTTATGAACTTCTTTCTACAAAAACATACTTCCTTCATTAACATAGCATTTAGCATGATTTCTAAAAACAAACGCTAATGAAAAGCTCTAAGGAGCCAGTTTAAAAAATCATGACTCTGTAAACATTGTACCTCATTAATTATCATCTTGATATATAAAAGCATTTTTTTACACATAATGTTTAAAAGGTAGGCATGTGCAGCTTTCATATTTGGAAAGAATGAGAAAATGGTAGGGTTCTGTTTTTCATGGTATTGCTGACATCTACTATAAAACACTCTTAACTTATAAAACCTGACACTTTCGGTGAAAATAAAGATTAGCCAGAAGTGTGCCAAGTTCATTTTTAGTTGCTATATTTGTAAAACAATCCCACTCACCCAACCAAAAAAGAAACACTGATGAAAATTTATGGGGTCCCAAAGGAATTTAATTTGGAGGATTCAAGGAAGCTGATTTACCAACAGCAAAGTGTTCATGTTATCAAGGGAGTTACCTAAATTCCATACTCAAGCACCAAATAGAGAGTAGAAAACAAAGTCAAAAGCAATTTAAACACCGTGGGGAATTTGGCACTAGCCCTATATATTTAGGTATAGGGAGAGGGTATAGGTATAGGAAGAGGGCTTTCAGTGAAATAAATAACCATAATCTTACCTATGAGAGTATGCACTTAGATAAAATACTCTCCTATTATAAGCTATTCCATGTGTCAATTGCAAAGTGATTATGACAGCCATTTTCCTTATAAGCAAGTATACCAGCCTTCAAGTTACTATGAGAGGTTATTTAGGCTAAGAGTGAAGTTTTGTTTTTTTTTTAAAGATTTATTTATTTGAGAGAGAGAGAATGAGAGAGAGTACATGAGAGGGGGGAGGGTCAGAGGGAGAAGCAGGCTCCTCGCCGAGCAGGGAGCCCGATGCGGGACTCGATCCCGGGACTCCAGGATCATGACCTGAGCTGAAGGCAGTTGCTTAACCAACTGAGCCACCCAGGCGCCCCAAGTTTTAAAATAAAATACTGCCAGCCCGCAAAAAAATATGGTCATTAATACTTTTTGTTGGACTTAATAAAAGACATATTTGTATGTTATATATCCTTAGGTCTTCATATCATACACATTAGTATTTTAGTCATATTCATTCACCAATTTAACAAGCGAAGCAGAATTCATTGTAGTGATCAAGATGTAGATTGCTTTTAGAAAAGTTTTATTCACCCTTAGTCCTCTTTCTTTAACACTCACACCAACACATACACACCTATAAATTAACAATTTCTTTACCAAAAATAAAAGAGCTCTGAGGAATAGGGAAAGAACCAACAATCAAGCACTTTATTTATTATTCAGTTATTCTCTTTAGCACAACTAAAACAAAATCTGGTTTCAGTTTCCTTGGACTAGAAAGGCAATTCCTTGAACAACTTCAATAGGCTAAAAAGGGTTTTAATGAAATTATGACAAAGTACTTAAAAATAAGTGGCAGATATAAGCATTATAATTAAAATAAAGAAAATAACTGAAAGTGATTGTGTTTTGTAGGTCTTTCCACTCCATTTTTAGCCTGAGAACCACAAAATGCACCTGAATTCTCATTACACAGTCAGTAATCATAATCAGATAATAAGCACAAATAACCTACCATTATGGGAAGTGCTGCCAAAGGGACTGCCCTAGAGGAGTACCTGAAGTCTTATACCACCAGGTCTATAAAGCACCAGCATTACTATTTGCTTAAATGTTTATTTTTTAAAGGAATCTAAAATTATCTACATTTCAAATGCAGACTCACTCGAAGTAATATTCATGAAACCAAACGTGTGATATTCTAGTTCTATATTTTTTCTAATACAGTACATTAATGCATTAAAATAACAGCCCCTACGATGATCTCACATGCCCCCAATGGTACATGCAAACACATTTAGTGAAAACAAACCATCCTACATAATTTTCAACTGGATTTCTTTCTCATAGAAAAAACTGATGAACATATATTAGCATCAAGATTAAAAAGATTAATGTTCAGTTTCATGTCATGCTTGCTATGTATGCACTACAGTACATCATTTAAATTTTAAAAGAGTTGAACAAAGGCAGCGGAGTTGATATATTGAACTTAAAATACTCATTGCCTCAGTCTCATATTGGGAAATTACTAAGCTTTGGAGAAATTGTAATTTACACTAAATGAAACCATATATCTTGGATACAAAAGACAGGTTGACTGAAGGTTCTGCTTGGATCCTATCTTTGTAAGTTCGGCCTCTGTGGTTTCTATAGCTGGTAAGAGTGAAAAGTGATCTTTCGCTACCCTAGGAGTGATTTCTATGCATGAGAGAGGAAAAAAAGGGCAAAATGTGGTTCAATAGGACAACTCTGCCACTTGTGTTCTATAGAAAAATCTTTTTATTTTGAGCTTTTGATTTTAATTTGATTCATTCTTGCCACTAAATCAGTACATTCAATTCCCTCTGCAATAAAATTTCAAATCACCTGCCTATGCATCTACTGAGTGCGGAGAAAGGTACAACCTATTGGAGTTTATTGTTTCATTGGGTTTATTCCTTATTGTAGATGGAATCATCATCAAAACTCAGCTGAGAGGACAAACTGGTTCATAATGATTTAAATTATATTAAAATATCACTGTTCCCATGAACTCAAACTACCCAGACTTTACCTATTAATATAAAACTCTGTAATGCCCCTAGATGTTCATTTTATTTTTTTTTTCCACAAGAACTGGGAGTGACCTTTTCCTAACATATAATTTCTTTGTGAAATTATAGTGACTAACAAGACTAGGCAAAACATTCACTTAATAAAGTTCACAACATTATAATAACAAATGATAGAAAAGAAAGCATGGATTCTAACCACTTTGTCCTCCTTTGGGAAAGCATCCAAGGAAGCAGAGTAAAAAGAGAGGAAAAAGAAGAAGAGAAAAACAAAAATAAGGCATATATTAATAAACAGATTTTAAGGAAATAATCATGTATTATTTTTAAAGTATTAGAGCACAGGTATTTTTACAAATAAATGTTTACTCTTCCCCAAAATACTCATTGTTCAAGCTTTCACTGAAAATGCACATATGCAGATCCTGCTATAGTAGATACAAAAATTGGTCACTATAATCTCCATAATTTTTAGAACTTGGATTACTACATCTCTATTTAAAACATTATTCAGAAAGAAATCCCAATTCACTATTATATTTAGTCTTCCTATTACTGAAAAGACATTTTATTAAAATCCATAAAATTATATGAATAATTTTATCAAATTACTGTTAAAATATTTATAGTTACAATTTGGAAAATCTAAGAATGGGAAATATTTGTAAGAAATAAAAATGAGAAAAAAGATGTTAACTATTGTAGCCATAAATTATTCCACAAGCAATATTTATTTGTAAGATACACCTCAACATTTATAATCTTATAGGAAAAGCCAATACAATATAGTCATGCAATATTTTTGACTTATGCCCAAAATTGAGGCAGTACTTTCTTTTATTTTGTTCTTCTGAATATTTTTTCCAAATTGGATGGGTTTCGTGAAGATGGGTAGACCACATTAGGCTTGGGTGTCTTCTCCAAAGCAGAGGTACCTCTTTGCTCAATTTCCTTTAAACATGAGTTTAACCCAAGTAATTTTAATATACCAATAGTTAACTGTATTGTTATTGGCTTTCCACAAACCTGTAGTCGAAGGCTAAAAACAGTCAACAATACAGGGGCTGAGTCAGCATCTCCACTCACTAATGTGCTGATTTGCACATTAGTACTCACTGCCAGGACCTTTCCGATTGGACAGTAACCCTATGCCAAATGGTTTGTTAAATATTTTGACTATCATTCCCAGGTATCATCTGTGAGAATTCATTTCAAAATAGTGCATTTAAGAACACCAAAGAAGAATTAACAAATAGGTCTCATGCACCTTTTTATGCGCCAGATGCTCTTTTGACCCCAGGTTGTTTTAAAAAGGCTTTAACATCACATATGATAATTTATTTAAAAACTTTTAGCAGGAAAAGAGGAAAACTTATTTGGTCATCAGAATGGCACCTAAAGAAAAATTAAAGCTATATCATAAAGACCTAGATTTTAATTATCATAATAATCATAGACAATAATTATTACTACCCAGTTTCGAAGATAAAGAAGCTGTTGTTCAAGAAGGCCAAAGCCTTCCCAAGGCCACAAATAGTGGGCTCACCTTAAAATAGAAGATATATCTATTTTACTGAATATCTTAATTCCACTGGAAGAGGTTTTTAGAATACCCTGCTTGTAATTCAAATACACTACCAATGAATACAATGTTGATAGGGAGATTGATTTTGATTTTAACTATGATTTTCTCAATTAGGAAAACATCAAGAGTGTTTAAAGCTTCATGTTATTTTTAAGTATAACTTTGTACTATGTTAAATTGCATGCATGATTAAATAATATATGAAATTATTTAGAGAAACACTGGGAATTCTTTAGGTATATGATAATTTTAACTGTTCTGTATTACATTGCAGACCTGTATTACATTGCAGACCTATATCAAAGAAAACCCACCCAGACATTCTCATAAATAATTCTATCCATACTAAGATAGGGAATATAATAAAGTACATTAAAATGTATTCTAAACTATTAGAATTTATCTAGTACTTCGTAAATAATATTTAGTCCTCTTAAATGAGCATCTGAGTGCCTCAAAAATTGTATATATTTAAAGCACTGCATAATAGAAGACCAGCTCTTATTTAAGCCAAACAAGGAAACTGCATCAGATTGAAACTGCATCTCATAGAGAAGAAAATAAGTGCAAAAATCCCCCCAATTTATAAAAGTGTATTTTGACATACTCTTTAAATATCCAAATAATTTCCCTATGAGAAACTTAGTGCTGCATTACTTTACCATGACAAGAAATAGGAAATTACTCTCACAGAAACTAATCATTGCTTTATACATCTTATCTTGGGTTAAATTTAATGCCACACTGTTTACCTTACATTTTACCTTCATTCAATCTGAAACAAATGTTGCAGAACCTGAAATGTTTTCTTCCCTTTTTACAAGAAGAACTGGCCATAGCAACTTGCAAGAGTTTCATAATTCATGAGACTAAATCTACATTTACTACATTCTTCAGAAAATAAATTTACTCCCACAGATAATCTGTTGGTTTTGAATGGGAATCGTTTATTAAGATACATATGCAAAGCATCTTTTTATGACTTATTTTCATCACTACTCCACTACTCTGAACTTTATGAAAAACACAGAAAATGGGAAAAGGGCACAGTAACAGGTACATTTATGCCCAAGTTGACTTTCTAACACGCGTGTGTTTTCTGCTTGGGAGGTGCACTGCTTTTTACCCGCATTCAGAGTGCCTCGCGCACTCAGGGAACACTCACGTTGTTGGAGCGCAGAGACACGCGGCCTCCACAGCGGGCGCAGAACTTGGTGCGGCAGTAGGAGCAGAGATGGCCGCATCCGTCAGCAAACTTGGTTTTATGACAGATCCCACAAGTGGGAGCATCATCTTTGTGCTCGCCCTGGTAACGCCGTGCTTCTTCCCCTATTTTTCTGACTTGTTCTTTATAGCTTTCAAATTGTTGATGCAATCTCCTGGGCAAAAGAGAAAATGGTAGCAAGCTAAGTAAATGACAAAAGACAAAAAACAAAAACAATTTTTCCTAACGGAATAGCAGTGCAACGGTTTGAACTAAATCAGAACACACAAAGCAATTTTTCCCACTCATCTTACCTCCAATGGTAAAAAATGTACTTGCATGTATTCCATTAGTCCCAATTTTGCTTACTAGCAATGAACCATACATAAATAGACTCTATATAATCACTGTTGTGGTCCCAACAGTGGGATTCATGTATCTACTCCATGCCTCACCTTCTTTTAGACCAGCGGCTTTCAAAGTATTTGGACTGTGGAACTCTACAATTACACTCATGTAGTATACAACTGAAGCAAAAGTTATATAAAATACCTAGCCTAACTCTATATGATGTACTCTGGTATATTCTTTCTCATTCTATTTTAAGTTTAATACTGATTACAATTAAAAAAAAAAAAACTTGTCACAGTAACTTGATTTGATGGCCCACTATTTGAGCATGATGTATACTTGGAAAAATACAGTTTTAAACTACAATGCTATGTAATCCATGTTCCACAAAATATCTTCCTTTACTCCTACTGGAGACTATTTATATATTCAATATCAAGTGTCTGATTTCATATGCCAAATAAAATGTTACCTTATATTATAATTGAGCTCACTAGTCTTTCCACATCACATGAAAAGTTCTAAACCACACCTTGCAAAATATTCAGATTTTTACATACCCCAACCTTGCTTGATCTCTCTCAGGTTATATGTATGAGAGCTGCTATCACTCTTTATTTAATGAATGCAACCAGAGTTGTTGAGGCAAACCAATTCCCATAAGAATGATCACACTTAATATGATTCAAGTCTCCTCCCCTCCCCGTCAGACCAAATCCCTCAATCTTAAATTGCTGCAAATAGAAACTGTTCGCTGTTCTATACAGAACACTACGACATCCAGTGAAAGGATATGTCTTAGTTTCATAAATGAGAACTGAGAGAGTTAGAGTTGTCCCAGGACTAGCCAACAGCCGTTGGCCATTAAAATGAAGGAGAGAGTCCTGGGAAATCATCTGTGGACCTGAGCGAGTGTGCTGGATGCGACTGTTCCCTAGGACACAGAGTACACACACATGCTATTGTCAATATAGGCAGTCAGCTTGATTCTCTACACCTGAGATAACTGTGGGACCTGGTACTCCCTGGAAACAGAACCAAATAAGTTAGGTGTAAGGACTGTAGTGTTTGCAGTACTGGGATTTCATGATATTTTTCCTTTAATGCCAACAGCTTCTGAGCAGAATTTTAACGATTACTTTAAAAATTCTGAAATCCCTTTCCTGCTTTGCCAACTGACACTTCTTCTATTTAATCCCATAATTAAAGCAAACATACTTGCACTAGGAAATAAAGTAGTTTAGAATCTGAAGCCCTTCCCTATTTATTTATTTATTTATTTATTTATTTATTTATTTATTTATTTTTTAAAGATTTTATTTATTTATTTCAGAGAGAATGAGAGACAGAGAGCATGAGAGGGAGGAGGG